TGAGCTGGGCACCCACGTGCTGTAGGCAGAGCTGAACCTTGGGGACATGTTCCTGTCTGTGTGTCTGGGCCACCCATCACCCTGTTCCAATACCCTTCTCTTGCCTTTTGTCTCCTTCTAAATCCAGCTCTTTGTTGAAGGGTCTGTTCTGTCCCCCCTTCTCCATGTGTCTGACTGCTCGGGACCCCACGGCCATTTCTTTCTTGGGGGTGCTCTGGCTTTTACAGTCAGTCCCATTGGGTTTAGACTTCAGTTGCTCTACCTTTGCTCCTTACAAGTTGACCTTGACTCTCTGAACCGTGGGTAAGCTCCTCAGGGAGGCAGAAACAAGGCATGTGCCTCACCGGTATCCTCCCAGCCTGGTGTGCCTCTGTCGTGCCGGCCACTCCAGGGAAGCTGCCTGTGCACACCGGATGACTTGTTTTTACATCTGCAGCTGATCGTGATGGGTCTTGCCTATCATAAAAGCATTCGTTTTTGATTAGAAAGTAATGCCATCGATCACGTTAGAGACATTTCCATTACGACTAGAATTAGTAATGGCATCCCTTCCCGTCCTGGAGATGCCACCCGAATTCATTTATGATTACAATCATTTGTAAGCATGACTAAGCTTCATTATGGTGTCTTCTCATTGATTTGAAATGGAACCCGTCTGTGGAGATCTGTGTAGAGGTCTGTGTGGAGTTGGCCAGTGATAAAGATAGCCGTGGGTACCCCACACTCCAGGGTCACACCCAAAGCGTAAGTGATGTTTTTTAACATCCGTGAGGGTCTAATGGCTACTGATTTTGAACTAAGAGCTGATTAGAAATGGTTCCCTTTGCAGGTCGTGCTTTAGAAAATCAGACAGAGGCACATGGATCTTGTCACTTAATGTCAGAGACTTCCCTTCTCCTTCCACAGCACAAATAATGACAAGTCAGATTTCTCGTGGTTTTCACTGAAGCCACATACCATGATGTCCTCTAAGCTTAGCATTTCTTAGGTTTATCTGAAAGGGCTGAACCAGATGACTGTGGGGGAGCTGACTGCTGGCCATCGGGTCCATTCCCTGGGGTTTAAGGAGCCAGCAAGTTTCAAGTCCCCTCTGGAGTGTCAAGTCTTTGCATACCTGCATTTTTTTAATCTTAAGATTTTGACCTTTGTATATTGAAGATATTCTGCTGCTCTGGTTGTAAGGACATTTAGAAATCAATATTTTAATGTATATCCAACAGTAACTTGTCCCAACGTTTATCATTGCAACTCAAATTTATATAATGTCTATTTGGATTTTAACAACCAGGAAGAGCTAAGAAAAACTTGGTTGGAAACCCTTCAGAAGTGTCTAATTAGGCTATAGTTGTGCTTTTCCCAAAATGAAGCACATGTAATCCTTTCATGGTTACAGAAAACAGTCGTTTGAGTCTTTTATCAGATTGGCTTTCGCCTGCAGCCTAGGGGGTAGTTCTCTTTGTGTAAAAGTGAATTTGGAGATTAATGAAGGACAGAATGGGTACACGTGGATTTACAAGCATTTAAAAATAATTGTAAAAATCTTGGCCTGTGTGCACTTAAAAACAAGATGACCCACTTGTTCTAGGTAGATTGCCTTAGAAAAAAGATAAAAGCATTTATGTCTTTGATCAGACTTAGGTAAATTGGACAACAGGTGGTTTTAGGTCTTCGTGGGCAAGACAAGTTGCTAGTACCTCGTTTCAGGAAAAAGACCTTAGCTGATGACACACATCGGCCTTGGCGTCTGCTGACCTCTCTCGAAACCTGAAAGACAGACCGCAGACCCAGAGCCCTTGTGACAGCAGGCAGCAAGCCAGAGCTGATTGGGACTCTAGCCGGGAGGCAAGGGTCGCAGCCAAGCCTTTGAGCTTTATGACTGCCAAGTTTGTGCCCTCTGGAAACTCGAGTGTGCTCAGCACTTCGTTACAGGTACATAAGCTGTTTGTTAGTTTATTTTGTACCCTGAAATGATGGCAGGTTCCAGTCACACACGCAGAAGCCAAACTGGGTATTCTGAACAGGAAGGGATTTAATAAAAGGGTTTGCATTGCTGCTCTTGTGGAAGGACTGGAAGCAAGAAGGAAGGAGATCAGGAAGGACTGAAGCCCCTGACTGCCCCATGGCTTTACAGAGCCTGTGACTCCTTATTCCTCCGCCCCATGTGTTGGGGAGTGATGACAAACACTGGCTGACTTTTGCAGCCACCAACTACTGTTGTCACAGCCACGTTGGTAACTGGAGCTGTGGCCATAGCCAAGAAAGGAATTCTCACTACCTCCCACCTGCCTTTTGGTTTTGTGCTAGTCCCCCAGGCTGGCGAAGGATTCTGGGAAATGTAGTTTCCACACCTCTAGCTCCAAGGATGCAGAACAAAGTGCAGAGGATATGTGGCCCTCACAGTACTTTAGGTGACATCACAGAACCTTAGAAAATATGAAGATATAGCACTTTAATAATTTAGACATTTATTTTTAATTAATTTTGATGTAAAGTATGAAAAAGTCATTTTGATAATATCTCCTATGAGAGTGAAAAAATGATCAGCTTTATGTTAAAGTGTATTTACCTGCAGGTGTAAAGAATACTTGGGGGACATTTTATTCACTCAATTCAAGCGCAGATAAACAAATGCATTAAAATGATGGCTCTCTCTAGGTTCCGAGAAGCATGGCTGTGTTCCTAGCCAACCCAATTCTCTGACATACAGCCAAGTCCACAGTGTGGGTATTTGACACTGATTGGTATTTTTCTGAAGCAAAATGCTTTGTCTGGCAGTGGAATCGCCTGTTTATATTCTGAAATTATATGTACTTGTCTTCTGGCTGCATTGTTTACATGTTTAATTCCAGTAGGGAATTATTTCAGATAAATAATCGTCTGCAACTTTACTGGAAATTGTCATGCCTTGAGAAACCAGTGCTTACTGATGGTAAAACGGTCCTAAATAACCACAGCTGCTGCTACTATATGTCTGTAAACCTTTTCATTTCTTTCATCTGCATTAATCTCAGCAGCTCTGCAGATGGGCCAGTGACTACTGTCCCCATTTTTATTTCTCATGATGTTAGGTGACAGGTCATTAGCGGTAAAATCAAGGCAAGGGTTGGGTTCTATAAATAAATATGACAGTTTGCTTATGAATATGCATTTGTGAGACTGTTCCTGTTGCAACAACATTCATTTTCATGCTATGGTCTAAAGCAGAAGCCTGTTAGGGTGAGCATGACATTCGGAGGGAGGCAAAGGCAGTGGGCATGGGGGAGGCCTGGATGCTTTTAAGGGAGTTTTCAGAGCCTTTTCTTACATGTGTTCCAAGTGGATCTGCTGGGGACGATGGGCACGGTGAGGGTCCTTATTGCTGGTGTCCTTCCTCCCACCTTCCAAAGGGAATTCTGCCCCTCTCCCATTTCAGGATGGTATACGGATGGGGTGGGGGCTTAGAACCTGTGGCCACCAAACAGGGGGACAATTTGGAATGTTGGTTTGGTGTTAAGAAATTAATTAAGAAAGTTAATGACTCTCATGATGAGATTAAACAACTTTTTGTAAGTCTGGTGGTTTCCATTTCTTTCCCTACGCTAATATTGTAGGTGGACTTTAATAGCATGTTGTCAGTTAATAGAAAAGTAGAAATAGTTTTGACGATAGATTGTGAACCTGGCATATAACTGAGAAAGAAGCAAAAGGGTTGAGTGACGTGGTGGTAACAGAACCCTCTCCGTTCCCATTCACCTTTTCATATAGACAAGCTTCTTGGCACATACATTTATAAAAATAAAAATTAAAAAAAGAATAAAATTGAGGAAATTGAGGTTGAGCCCTAATTGGTTCTAGTAATAAGCATTCTTCATCCACAGAGTATATGAACTAACTGGGGAGGGCTAGATTTTCTTAACATTCTGGGAACGGAAAGCTGCATTTCCAACAAGATTTTACTCTTGCATAATGATTCTGTTCAAAATTTGCTGTATCTTACATTTTCATCAGTTGTGGTCTAAAAGTAGCTGTAATTGTAACCTAATCAGAAAACATTCTGATGTTTAGAGACTAGATTTTTATTTTATTATTTTATTATTTTTAATTAATTTTATTTAGTTATTTTTCAAGTACAGTTTTTTTGTCTATTTCTCCCATCCCAGCCTCCCCCGCCCCTTGCTCCCCACCTTTCTCCCATTTCCGCCCCCCTTAGTTCTTGTCCCTGTGTCCTTCCTATTTGTTCCTCCAAATCCCTCCCCCTTTTTCCCCTTAACTTCCCTTCCTTCTCCCCTCTGATCACTGTCCCCTTGTTCTCTGTTTCAGTGTCTTTGTTTTTTTTTTTCTGCTTGCTTGTTTGTTTTGTTTAGCTTCCTGTTAAAGGTGAGATCATATGGTATTTGTCTTTCAGCACCTGGCCTATTTCACTCGGCATAATGCTTTCCAGTTCCATCCATGTTGTTGCAAAAGGTAGTAGCTCTGAGACTAGATTTTTAAATAGTAAAACTTTTAAATTAAATGTTAATTTATATACATAATTTATTATATACAAAGGCATAAACCATAATAATGTTTATTTACTTTACCATTATGAACACAGTACACAGTGACACATAAAATGTGAGGTTTAAAGGATGCGAGAAAGGAAGTAAGAATTGAAAGAGGAGAAGAACTGATGCCAAATTTTAGAGATTTGAGGATCTTGTTTTCGGCGAGTGGTGGTAGATGTCAAATGGCCGAGGTGCTCGGACTCTATTTGGAGACAGTTGAAAGAATGACATAGCGACATTATTTGACAATGTCAGTATTTACAGCATAGTAGAAATTACACCCTTGACCATTACCGAAAGTGACAGGGAAAATTTTTATAAATCAATGTGAAAATGCATGTGATTGATTTTTAAATTTTATGTGAGGAGGATACAAGCAAAACCCTGTGAGGATCACTGACCTACACACAAGATAAAGTCACGTGCCTTGAGTGTAAGCCTGGCCACATGTCCTCCCTGCTCCTCTTTGTCTTCCAGTTTGACCTCGTGTGCGTCAACGCTTGGATGCTGGACCTCACACAAGCCATCCTGAACCTGGGCTTCCTGGCCGGAGCATTCACCTTAGGCTACGCAGCAGACAGGTGGGCATTGCTATGACAACACAATGTGCATGCGTGGAGATGAAACGTCGTATGTTAACTATTAGAAAAACAGACTTACTAGGTGCAGAAAGCAATGCTAATTCCTCTGCTCATGACATTCACACTGGTTTGACTGGACTAATGTTTTTCATCTTAAACTGTGTCTGTCTCCTTTATCCTTGAACTGGGCAGGCGGGTCTGAAGGCGTCTGCGCGGAAGCCCAGACCTGCCCGCAATGGCTCCCCCAGGGGCGGACAGACAGCGGGCTGGACTCTGTGGGTTCATCCTGCATTTCAGTCCCTCACTGGTTGTGGTTTGACTCATTTGGCCATAGGTCAGCCCCTTCCACATTTGGTCCATTTAATTGAAAAAATAACAAACCATGTATTTTATTCTACAGATTTAAAACTGCAGAGAAAAGTTTTCCAAAAATCATTAAAAGAGTTTATGTAACATTCACAAATATACCAGTTAATGGCATACACAGTGCTTGCACAGATTCAAGGTCATGCTTCCCATTCCGCTATTCCCGTTTCAGACATTATTGGTGCTAGCTGACATGTTCTTGTTTAGTTGTTCCTTCACCCCAATTCTAGCTACGAAAATACTTGTAGTCATTGAATAATTCCCTCTGTACTCGTCAGGACAGGGAGAGGAAGCTCTGGCCCTTGACCACCCCTGGCTTAATATTCCTCCGGTCCCTCTAGCCCAGCCTGGGTGGGTCCTTTCGACCCTGTTTGCAGCCAGGAGTGCTAAGGGTACGTCCTAGACACCAGCCCGCAGCAATGAATGAGCGAGTGTGAGGCAACAACATGCCCGCATCCTGCAGCTGGTTGGCGACCTGAATTTGACCAAACCAGGACGTCAACGTGTGCGGAGCCCTTGGTTTCCTCCTCCGACCCTTCGTCCATCTCTGAGGTTTCTCTTGCTGTCCCCATAATCCTCGTCTGCATGTGACTTTCTCCTTAACCCTTTGTGTCTGATGCGCTTTTCCTGTATTTTATGTTTTTCTACTGCTTCTACTGCTGGCCCTGCCTATTCTTCCTCTTCTATTTTTTTTTAAATCTCCCCAACATAGCATCTTCTCTCTTGGCTGGCTACAATTTGGAATTGAGTTATGTATTTTTAGCACATATTTCTTTAATTTTGTTTTTACTCTGCTTAATTTAAACAGTAGGTTTTGCTTCTGCGGCGTGTTTCTCTTGCACAATCCGTAAACATGTCTTCAAAGCAAAGTGACTGGATGGAAGGAGGTACAGTGTTCCTAACTGTGCTCCAGGGGGAGACGGCGCGTATCCTTGGATGTGGCCTTGTCCTTGGGGGAGGACAGACCCCCGAGTGATTCTGCCCCCTCAGGGCCAGCCATCTGTCAGCTTCTTCTCTTCTTTATGTCTCTGACAGAAAGGAAAACAAACAGCTTAACAGGCCATGTATCTGTGGGAAGGGTAGGGAGTGAATTTAAAAACTGGGCCTACTTCCATCTCCGCTTTGCTGACCGAAGCAAGATGATGTGTGTGTGAATTTGGTGGACATTTCCAGGGGGAAATGTTATCACATCAAGTCCCTTAAAAGTCACTGATGATAAACTTCCTCCAGTCCATACTTTGGCACAACCCTGCAGAACCATTTAACATTGGATTCTCAGGTTTTTCACACAGGATACCTTGTTCCCGTTTTCTAAAGTCTTTAGTTTTATTCAGTGAATGGGGAAAATGAAATACAAAATTTAGGGGAAACTCCTATTGGCCTGAACTTTATACAGAACTTTCTTGTTAGCATCTCCTCTGGCCCTCTGACCACAGCCTCACTGTGGAAAGGTAAAAAATACACACTTATACACACATAGAGGGGCACACACACACACACACACACACACACACAAAGGGTACGGCAGAAGTGATGCCTGCTTCAGTGAGGTGGGTGGGGTAATGATACGGGTATCATGATTTGTAGTTTTAATTTGACCATTTCACCTAAATATCGTGTGTTGTGCTTGAGGGTGATATTGTTATGTTACAGAGTGACATGCCTATAATTTTGTAATAAAAAGAGGCATTGTTTATGCTGGACCCTGTATCTGTGTGTGTGTGTGTGTGTGTGTGTGTGTGTGTGTGTACTCTAGAAAATGAGACTACAGCCCAAACCTTCTATGGAAAAGAGGTCCAGGTAGATGGGTCTGTCCAGAAAGTATTCAGCCATGCAATGCGAAAGATAGAGATGTTTCTTGAAGAAGATACAAGATATGAAAAACATTGTCCACAGAACAGTGACACCTCAGTCCCCTGAAAGCAGGCACCTTGGGACCTCACATTTCTCTCAGTCCCCATCAGCTGTCCCGTCATATTTTCCTGAATCTCAATGATGGTCTGAAATCTCTTCCCTTTCAAAGATGATTTTAGTTTTGGGAAAAGCCAGAAGTCACAGGGCACCAAATCTGGGCCGTAGGGGGCCTGAGTCACCTGGGTGATTTCATGTTTCTCCAAAAAGCTGCATGAGACGTGATGTATGAGTGGGTGCATTGCAGAGATGACGTTGCCCACAGCTGCGGCCTTCTGAATCATCCACATAGTTTCTGGGGAGGGGTGTTCCAGCTTAATGCAAAATTGGTTGCAGAATCGTTGCTCTACTCCCTCAGTCATTTTGAATGTGACAGCCACACAGTACACAAACTCACTCAACAGTGTGTACTGTCCCCACTGACTAGTACAGTGAAGTCGTCATTGTTCACGCATGTGCATTCCAGTCTGCTCTCCTTGGCTCCCAGGTTACATTGATGTCATGCAAACCATTTTCATTCTATTAACAATGGCTGCACTTTTTCCGGACAGACCTCCTCACATATATGAAAAGAACAACAGAAGCAAACACATGAAACTTGAGTCGTGGTGAAGTTCAGAAATTTACCCCCATATCTGTCCTTCAGCCTCTTTTAACAACACTCAGACTGGTAGTCTTTTTGATGGCGTTGGAGATAATGTTTAAGTTGACCCTTCCTTTCTCTTTCTCACGAAGGTACGGCCGAATAGTCACTTACTTAATATCCTGTTTTGGTGTTGGTGTCACCGGCGTGGTGGTAGCATTTGCACCAAACTTCCCTGTCTTCGTGGTCTTCCGCTTCTTGCAAGGCGTGTTCGGAAAGGGGACATGGATCACTTGCTACGTGATTGGTAAGATATTGCCACACCTTGTCTACTTGAGGACCATGGTTAGATGGATTAAGAAGTGCGGGCTAGTCAGCCTTCCTCGTGCAGGTTTGGTGAGGCTTCGTGTGGCAACAGTAATTATTTCTGCAAATAGCAGGGTGCAGGGGCAAGATTCTGACTCTATAGGAGTTGAAAGGCCACCTTACTTTGGGGACCAAATATGGCATATCGCAAAATAGTGGGGTGGCCACTTTCTAGGACTACCATACTGTTATCCCATGATTTTTTTTTGCTTTTCTTTTTTAGGGATTAATTTTTATTAAACTTCAATAGTCCCTTGAAACATTTTTAAAGACCGTTCTGTGTATTTCTGTGACACAGTTTAAGACAACACTCCCGTGTTCTATTCCTTCTGTGTCAGCGGAGAACTTTTCACCATGCCGGAGATGTGAGCGGAAAGTGAGAAGTTCATTTGGGAACCTTTGCTGTCTTCCGTAACTAGAAAGTGTGACCTTCTGGGTGTGAAAGGCAGAAAACCTTCCCCTTGCTCTTTGCTCATATTACTGGGAAGTCCTGGCTGCGATGTTTGGCTCGATTTCCCGTGGTGTCAAGGCGGGGCACCACTACTCTAAAAATCACGGTGGATTTGTGATCAGGGGAATTTGAATATTCCTCTTTGATTATTACCCCAGATCTTTGGGCGTCTGTTCCCTTCTGTGATGTTAGGCGATTCCTCCCCAAGCCTCCCACTTTAGAGACTGTTTGAAAGTCTTCTTATGGACAGGAAGGGAGGGAGAGCATTAGAAGGATTGACTGTCTCTGCCTGGCGCAGAAGAGATAACTTTGAAATATGAAGCATTTTTAAGGAGACCCAAATATAGTAAATTTTAGAAGTTTGATCTTAGGGCAGGAAAAAGAGCATATCCCAGGATGATCAGAATAGGTGGCAGATAGAAACCGATTAGTAAGGGGCGGGGGAGGGGGGGAGGAAGGCGGGAGGATGCAAGAATGATGCTCCTTGTGTGATTTTTCAAGAAATGTCACACACTTGAAAAGCCCAACCCTGTAGAGAGAATTATCATTTGATAGAAATGATCTTGTAATAATGAAAAATTATTTACAGAGTCTAATGTTCATACTGAATCTCCCAGAGGGACTATAATGTGCATCTCTTTAGAGATCAGTGATAAAATCTAGCAAGTGTATTAGAGTTATGTTCTAATTACCATGACCTTCCAAAATGGTCGTCACTGAAGCTTCCTTAAAAGCAACACCTGCATTCTTCGCATGCCCAGAAGAATACTGGGCTGTGTGTACGGGGAGCACTAATGCTTGCCCTTGACCCGTGGGGAAGGGCTTAGAGCACCTTCCCAAGTTGTCTGGGAGGCACAGCTCCACCGTGTCAGCCTGTGAAGGAGCCGGGGGTCTTGGAGAGTTCTGTAGGATTCTAGCAGCACAGATGGATAACACAGGTGCAGTGCCTCTGCTTGTTTAGTTTGGAGCTGACCCTGAGGTTCTCTGACTTCTGTGTTTGTTTTCCTTCAGTGACGGAAATCGTTGGCTCAAAGCAAAGGAGGATTGTGGGAATCGTGATTCAGATGTTTTTCACCCTTGGAATCATAATTCTCCCTGGAATTGCCTACTTTATCCCCAATTGGCAGGGGCTCCAGCTGGCCATAACGCTGCCCAACTTTCTCTTCCTCCTTTATTACTGGTAATGTGGTTTGCATCATTATTGAACTTAATCTTATTCCACGGAAGTGTAGAATCTATGCTTCCAAACCAACATGAACAGGAAAACAATTAAGGAGCTTTCCTAACATCTCCAGAATGTCCGTGGGCTTTGGGAATTTCTAGAGAATTTGAAAATTTGATAGAGATTATTCATTGATTATTTGACTAATGGCTATTAAAATGAATGAAATACCAAAACACAAAATTTTAAATAGAGTGTTAATTATGTTTTATTTTGTAATATCTTTATGAAAATTACAAGGCAAAAAACTGTATCTGACAGTATTTCAGTGCCAAAGAAATGAAGCAAAATTGATTTACTTCTCTGTATATTTTATTAAGCAAATTAATATTGCTCAGAAATGCTCTGAGGAATAAGAAAATGTTAAGGATATGAGAAAAGTAATAAAAAAGTTACAGGTGTATGCATGTGACTCTTAATGTCATGAACATATTTTAATCATTCCTCTAATTTAATTGTTTTTATTGTTGACACTATTACAGATGTCCCCCGCTTTGCCCACCTCCACCAGCCCCGCCCCCCACCCAGGCCCTCACCACAGTGTTGTCTGTGTGCGTGGGTTTTGCATCTCTGTTCTCTGCCTGATCTCTTCACCTTCTTCCATCCAGTCTCCTCCCCTGTCCCCGCCCCTCTGACAGCTGTCAGTCTGTTCCAAGTACGTGGTCAAATCAGTTTATGTGATTTGGGTTCCTAGCTTTGTCCTGAATGCTCGCTGAACCCCAGTTCTTTGCACATGTGTCATCAAGGACACTGCATCCTGGGACAGCCTGCTGCAAGAGCAATGTGATATTTCATTATTTTTATTATGAGCAATGATCCAATTACCAAGTGAGCATTTTTTCCTTCCATAATCAACTTGCAAACATGATCTGTATTTCTGAGAGCCCATTCTAAACTCAAAGATTCTCCTACACTTTTATCTAATTGGGAGATCCATTTTGTTAGAGACACTCGAACCATAAAAGTCTAGATTTTGACATTCCTACTCATGACTCAGAAGTGCTTGCATCTTTCCAGGGTGGTTCCCGAATCTCCCCGCTGGCTGATTACTCGGAAGAAAGGCGATAAAGCGCTGAAAATTCTGAGGAACATTGCCAAGTGCAATGGGAAATATCTCTCACCCAATTACTCAGAGGTAATTTTGTTTATCACTAGTAACAAGGGTTGTTATGGCAGGTGAGTCGATCACTTATGCACATGTTATCAGACATTGGACTAAGTTATTTTTTGTTGGTGAAATTGTAATAGCATTATAGTTGAGGTTCATTGGCCATTTAGTCCATAGCTTAATGGTGGCACCAAGTTACTTGAATTCTTATACTTTACTGACTATAGGCCCCATTGTGTTTAATCACTCATTGTAATAGAACAATCTATAAGTCTTTTCTTGACATTCAATTTAGTCTAAAGATTTGTCTTTGAATTTAGTATAAGAAGTGCTGTGCATTTGAACTAGAACTTGAACAAGAATGTAATATTTCAGCCTTGGGACTTACTGTACAGCTGCTGGCCGTCCTACCTTCCTCCTCCCTGCTTCCCCCCCCTCCATTTCTCCCTTCCTTCCTTCTTTCTTTCTTTCCTTCCCCCAGCAAAGTCTTTTAGGTGCCCCTGTATCACTGCTGCAAGAGAAATTGGGGGTATTAAAAGCTCATTATTCGTCCTTTGGAAGATTTGATAAGCAGCTGAAGACATACACACCCCAGTATATTTGGAGCAAGCCCTGAATAATGAGAGAATAGCATGTGAAAATAGATGGCCTTGCGTAGCTGCAAAGACTGAAGTGAACACAGAGTAATGGAAGGCTTATTACAGAAGGTGCATTAGAGAAGAACTTTGGGAGACTGTGAATCTTTTATATATACCGTTAAGAATATTGGGGTGCTAATATCATTTTCTTCATAGCATTCAGTTTGTTTTGGTAGAAGCATTCTAATAAGCATCAAGGTTTTGTTGGTTTTAGTGGTACCTATCTGGCCCCCCAGAACATGGTCAGCCATGTTTGGATTTCTGCTGTCTTCTTACTCTTATCTTGTGTTCAGCTGCAAGCAGTGGCCACTCTTGTCCCTGTTGGAAGTAGATTAATGATGGACCTTGAGGTTTACAGATCATAAAGCATATGGTACAGGTAAAGCATGGTCTACTCTAACCACTAAGACTAGTGGAGCCTGCTCTTTGGGCTGAGCTGTGTCCTTTCTGTTTGGGGAAAAGATTCCACTGCTTCCCAGGTTCTCTCTCATCCCATTAGCTATTGGCCTTTATAGCTGGGTCCACTGTATGAGCATTTGTACTCAGTTTTATGAGTCAAGTGAATGTTTTCTCTATTCATTCAGGAGCATCCTGAAGTCATTCCACATGTCATCCCAGAGCTAAGCATGTGTAAGAATCAAATCAAAGGTTTTAAGAACATTTGAAAAACAGTAGTGTGCTGCTGGCTTATGAGATAAAATGCACGTCAACTGGGTGTGTCCCAGGTTCTCATGAGCTGCTAAGAGTAAGAGACCAGAGGGTGGTTCCCAGAGCAGCTGCTGTGGCACATCCTATAAGTGTCTAATTCAAAGCCACTGCTGCGGACCTACTGACCTACTTCAAGTTCATGAGCACCTCGGAGGTCACTCCCACAGGAAGGGAGGTCAATGCCCCACATGGTGGTGCTTGTCAGAGATCATGAGCTTCCAATGCAGTGGCTTCCAGCACCTTCCCACTCGAGGCTGACAGATAATCCCTGTTTGAAGACAGACTCCAGCCTCCCTCAGGAATTCACTCTGGCATTCCAGCGGTCACCGTTGACATTTTGTTAGGGAAGCCAGGTCTGGTGTTTAGTGTGTCTGCTCTTGTTATTCCAGTGAGTTTTCGCTTCATTCATTTAACTAAGCTTATGACGGAAAATTACAAAAATATTCAAAAAGAGAAAAAGTTTTAATGAATCTCTTTATGCACGTCACCCAGAGCCAGCAATGACCAACTCAGGCCCAGTCTTAGTCTTCTATACTCCACCGCGGGTCTTGTCCTCGGCAGCCCACCTCTCACCTCGCCCAGTTCTGATCGTACCTACAGAACAGAAACCCACAGGCAGTTACTGTCTCTGGGACAGTGTGTGCTCCGTCTCAGTCTCCTGCTAAACAAACACTGAAGAGTATTCAGTTGAATACAAATGATCACACATTTGACCCATCTGTTAGGACTGATGGCCAGTGTCATAAGAGCACATTGGGATGGCTGTGGAGATAAAAGATGAAATATAGAAATAATCTCAATATCACCATTTTTAAATGACCATAATTTCTTCACAGGGAATACCAAGTCAGTGTTTCCAATTCACTGCTTCCCGACTGTCTTAGGGTGTTTATCCCTTGTGTGTTTGCATTAGGACAAATGGCTTTTTATATTGGGATTGGTTGATAAGCCTCTTTGGTCTTTATAGGTTCCTGTACTTTTTTTCTTGCAACTTTGGGGTGAGGAATACTCTTTGGGGGCTTTATTACCGTAAAGTTTTCTGCAGTCTAAATCTCATTGCTTGGCTCTCTGAGGATCCTATGACGTGTCTCTTGCCAGAAAGTGGGGGTTAACTCTAGTGCTTTAATCGGCTTCTGGTTGGATATTTTTGGCAAGACCCCATCTTAGTGACTGCATACATTCCCATGAAGAGACACTTAGTGTCTGCCTGTTGTCCCTTCTTGTGATGTTAGCTGCCACTGATAATCATTGCCCGCATTTATTAATTCATCAGATGGTGAAAAATGGCAGTATCTCATTTTAACCGGATTTCTTCATTTGTTACTCACTGGATACTTATATCAAGACTAACTTCTCCCATCAGCTGCTCGGTGACTCTGACATGCAGTTCCAATAGAAAGAGCAGGATGAAAGCATAATTTTTTCTTTTCAGAATGAGCTAGCTTCCACCATCCTCCCAAAAGGGATCAGCGTGTCGTGTGTTGTGGGCTTGAAGCCTCAGTATGAATTCCTAGATTTGAATATACAGCATAGATTTCGATCTGCTGCAGTGTTTGTCATACTTATCGATGCTCACTCTGCTGTCTCTGGCAGCTGAGGCTCACCCCTGTTGGCTCCCTGGTCTCTCTGCCACACCCCTAGGACCTTCCGAATGCTTCCTTGCTGTTCCACATGGCGAGATTTTTCATGCTCATCTTGTAAGTTTTAGTCTCACCTTTGGAACCACCCACTTCTCAAAGGGCAGACTGAGCTTTTTAAACATATGTCTTCTAACTAAACCCATCCATCCCCAGCCCTTTTTCATTGTACAACAAGCCAGAAAGCAAAGTACTGTCCTCAAAAAGAGGAGGAATTACCATTTCAGCTCAGAACACCTTACTAATAGCTGAATTATAGGCCAAACTATAGTTTTCTACGTCAGAGACCCTAATGTTCCCACAGAGCACAGTGGTGGGCAGAATGCCACCTTGTGGGACTCAGAAACCAGGCCAGCGGCACAGACCCTGTATGCAAGCGCCAGCTCCAACATCGAAGCAGGATTCTGCTATCGCTTTGTGAAATGATATTGATTACTTCTGTTTTGGTGACTCAAATAACTACTGCCCAGGTCCATGTTAGGCTCACCTTGAAACCTTATGTTTACGTGGTCACTTCAAACCTTCACCGAGTCCTTTCATTGCCTTGGCTGGTGTCCCCGCTCTCTGGATATAATCTTAGGGACCCTGAGGCCCTAAGGCGGGTGTCCCTAAGGCGGGTGACCCTGTGCTCTCACTTTTCACAGAATGTCTTCCCAATACATCCTCACTTTGGAAGAAGTTATCACCCTATAAAATCACCTCATCCTTCAAGACCTCTCCAGTTTCTATCTTGGGCTAAGGGTGTACATCATGGATTATAGGGAAGGTGGGGATGAATTAGAATCTGCTTGGATGCAAAGCAGTCTCAGAAGGCTGGTAGCTCTGTGTTCCTCTCTTGTCACAAGAGCCTCAGTGACCTCCCCACCCCAACCTGTCACATTGCTGGCACCAGAGGTCCTGGTCTACTGTAGGGGAGCCGAAGAGCCTAGTTTAAAGTGACCCAAAGATGCTCCATACTCCAGAAGATGCCCTAAATTCACTACCATCTGGGATTACCAATCCACCGGGGCTCTAGTAAAGGGAAGGAAGGTGTAGGAAATGTCAAATGTTCAGAAAAGCCAAAGTGAGGTTGATGAATCACTTTAGTAATTAATAATTAGTAATTAGTAATCACTAACTAATCACAAGTAGCAATTAGTAAAAGTTTCTGGTGCACACAACAGAAAGACTTGCAAACTGGAAACAGGAAATGAGGCTCAGGGCTATATTGGTATAAAGCATCTTACATCAAGAGAAGGTGACTCAATTTGGTGGCTCAAATAACTACTGCTCTTGTCAATGGCTGTGTGTTCTTCGCATTGACTAGGTATAATATTGAATTTTCTGAAATGATGGGGAATTGGTCAGTGGTGATGGCATATCAGCCCTCAGGAACAGCTCAAGCTGTGCTTATAATTTCCAGAGGTGTAAGCAAGAAATGGCATAGGTCAAGTTGGCCTTACAAAATAAGCTAAATAAAGCATTGTTTGTAGGATTAAACTGGATTTGTCTGTTCAGGGAGTTTTCAAAGCTGATCTTCATTTGTTTTCAATTTTAGCAGAAGAAAATATGTACAGTGGATCTGATCCAACACTCAACCAAATAGATTATTCTGAGAGTTGGTTGTCCTGTAAATAATATCAGTTACATTTCCCATGGGTGCTACTCATCTCGTGGGTGAATAACCTCCGGCTCTCTGTCTGGCTGCTTTCATTTGCCGAAGTTCCCGGCTGGCCTGTGATGGCGTTGAAGAGTTAGCCAGCAGGGAGAGATGCAGGTGATCAGAGCACCAGGGTATCTGCACACACCAGTGGTGTGAGTGAGATTCACCAGAAGGAAAAAGCCCCAAATCAGAAACCAGTGCAAACAAGGCAAGTAGGCTGAGCACGTGGGAAGTTATGCAGAAAACCTGGAAAGGATCAAAGGATGGGCGGCATGTGAAACACTAGGTAGCTACCTGACACGGAAGGAGGAGTCACTTGGACACCTAACCCTGGTTCTGTTGCCAGAGGAGGCTTCAGAGATTCGACAGAGTTTTGGTTGTCTGGATGACACTGCGTTGTGG